TTTTTTTTTTTTTTTTACCATTTAAATGACATCTCAGGCTGTTGTTCATCAGTTTAATAAATGGACTGTTTATGAAATGTGAACGTTTCCAGAATGCACTTAAACTTAAGTGAAAGGAAAGGGGGACAACTGGGATTTTTAAAAATAAATTATTAAGCAATAGTTACATATGAAATTGGGCCTTGCGTCAAAATAAAATGACTTTCGTTTCCCTCTGCGCGCTCCCGCGAGAAGCATGCAGCGCTTGGCAGGCAGAAGTCGCCGTAACACCTGTGTCGGCGCTGTTGTGAGCGAAGCAAATCGTGACAGGCTAGTAGCAGCGGACTGTAAACATGGCGGCGTGCACAGCTACAGGGCTGTGCCGAAAACCCCGTTACTACTAGTCTGCTAGACAGAGACACCCCAAAAATGGAGACCGAAGAGGAGCAGCACATAACGACGCTCCTCTGTATGGGCTTCCCAGACCCCGACGTGATACGAAAAGCGCTCCGGCTGGCTAAGAATGACATCAACGAGGCAGTGGCGCTCTTGACGAACGAAAGCCCCGGACTCGGGTATGGATATGAACCGATGGAGAGTGGGCCTAACCCCGGCTTGGGCTCGAGTGGAGAGGGGGAAAACAGCGGGCGGACTGGCACAGGAGGGTTTGACCCTCCTCCAGCATACCACGACGTAGTGGATAGTGAGGTAAGAGAAACCTGTAGTTTTAGCAACCATGAATTGAAGCAGCGAGGGGAGGAAACCGGGCTAATTGCCGCTTGCAAGAAAGAGTGGGCTCGCCCATTTAACTGGCTAAACTTAGCATCTTCAGTGCTACATGCACCTAACGCGAGCTGTCAGAGCAGGAGGTGAAATTCTGTTCGATACTAATGGAGAGGGCAAGAGAGTTGCCTGTGGTTGTTAAGCTTCGTTCCTTTAAAAATTGCGCTGAAAGCCTATTTTGAACATAAAAGCTAACGCAGTTAGCTTGTAGCAGGCTAGCTAACGTTAGTTTAGAGTTAAACGCGCCAGTAAGGGGACCAAGGCTAGGAGCACAGAGGCATCACTCTGGGGGATTGCAGTTAGAGATTTCAGCTGGGACCTCTGGTAACTGGTAAACAGCTCTATCAGCCAGTCAGCCTGCAGGCAGACAGTTTGATCTCTTATGTCTGCTTTGCATGTGTTAGCTAACGTTAGCTGGATGGTTATCAGACTGCTCCGCTCCTGTAGGAATTGCAGTCCACTCGAACCGGGCTTAGAGCGGTTTCGCAATTTCATTTTTAAGCATACGTGGCCATTTTGATTATTTTTCTATTCATAATGTCAGTTGTCATCATATGAGTATCTATTTTTGTGTCATTCATTGATAATTCTTACATATTGCGTGTATGAGAAGGGTTGTAGTTGATTGAAAAATACCAGTCACTAGTTCTGTCACAGTAATTTACCTACCTACAGGTCTTAACACTTTGTCCTAATTTACGGCGTTTATGTGCTATTACAGTAAACCGCAGATGCCCATCTACATATGATTCACCTGACACCTTTAACACCTTAAACACAAACCTAACCTCAAACCCATTGCTTTTATAGATTTCCAAAAACGTAAGGCTATTGAAAGTGACCGGTCCTTCAATTTTTGAGGTTATTGATTCAGACTTGATAGCCACCTGTTGTGTCCCTTTGATTGTAGTGAGATGCTGTGATTGTGGGTCAATAGAATAAGTACACATAAACTACTGACCTGTTCCTGTTTACACCGGCTTTTTCTTCTACCCCGTTATCACGATGGTGGTTTATTACAGGCTGTTTTAGTAAGTGTAATATAAACAACACTTGGCATTCACAGTGTGCAGAAAATAGAGCACACCCACATGTCAATAAGAAGCCTATGTTTAAAAACATTCTAATAATGATGTTGTTACAGATTAATTTACCACCAAGTAACTCCTATGTTATTTAATCCCATTTCCCCCCTGTTTGTTCATCTGCCAGAAAAAGTTAGAAGTACAATTGGAATCTTTTTCCAACCAAACATATTTGCTACTATTTACTACTTGAGCATTTATTGTAATTGCTATATAAATGTGTCTGTGCATGTGCGTGGTGTATTTGATATACTACAGAGAAATAAATCTCACTCATTCCTACAAAAATTATAAAGTTATAGAGAATAATCCAAAGTTGGAAAGTGCTGTTTTTGCCCTCTTCTCTTCCCTTGTTTCTTGTATTAATGTTCATGAAGGCTGTCATAGGTCTTTGGCCACAAGTCATGCTCCTAAATATAGCCCTGCAGTGCCCCTGACACACACAAACACGTTGCAGTTTTTGCAGAGGATCCCAGGAGGATTGCGGGTGCATAGTAACAGTGGCACTGAGTTACCTCATTGTCCAGGCCAGCCACACACATGCAGTGCTTTTCAGCCTTTTCCCTCTAAAGCCCTTAAGTCTGGAAGCATTGAAAGTATTGGAGCCTAGTGCATGTTTCATGGTGATTTGTGGTTTTCACTATATTGTACTTCTTTGAAACAGGGCATTGACTTGTGGTTGGGTAATTCTGCCAGTTGTGCTCTTTCATTTGGGTGTTTCCAAAGATCTGTATTAGTTTAGTCTTTCTCCAGCTTTTCTTCCTCTCATCTATCTGTCGTATTAAATTTTCTAAGAAAAGGAAGAGATGAAATATGATGCTCCTCCTTTATCCTTTATGCTTTATCTTTCCCTTTGCCTCCTCTTCTCCTCTCTGTGATTGATTAATAATATTTTCTCATATACATCGATATGCAGGACAGTCATGTACTGAATGCACTGACCACTGTTTATGTTAATATGTATATAACTATATTTAACTGTACCGTTAATTAATATTTATACTGTGCAGCTTCCACATGAGAAATGGTCTCTAATAGTTTGTTACAGTCATAATGTAGTGGAAGTTGAATCCTAGTGCGCAGTTGTAGTTTAACATAATTTCCAATGTAACACAGCAGGTCAAGCTTTATTAAATGGTTCAGTTATTACTTTACCATCTGCACCTAGTTTGCGCCATCCTTAAATGTTGAATGAATTGGCTGGGCAGCACTGTTTGAGAGGAAGAGGCTGTGAAGGTTAATCATAAATATACACTTGACCTCATGAATATGTAAGCAAGTTTATGGCATAAATAATTTACTAACCCTTTAACTTTTTTTGCTTTTACCACATAGACTCCTAGACTTCACTGCCACTGCCTTCTTCTGTCTTCTTATTCCAGCTGAGCCTTAATTCTGCTCTGTGAATCATAACTACAGATGGTATAAAACTTGACTCTAAGTGAGTTGAATTTTAGCTCTCTCTTTATTACCTGCTCAGGCATGACGCCATCATATAGCTAACAAGACAGTGTCATGTCATTTGGTAGGGTATTCATTGAACTTGACTGTCTAGCTCTCACACCCTGACTTACACATCACCACTCTTTAGACTTAATTGCTGCCAAAGGACTTACTAACAAGCACCTGCCTTAATTTGTTCTGAAAGCTTCTTGGGAGGAAATAGAAAGATAAAAATATTACAGAGATGAAGGGCAGATCATAGAGGAGAGGACACACTTTCCAAATGACTGCTATCGCTCCTCTCCCAGAGAGAGGAGAAGACTCAGGCATCATCCTGTCTGACTTTATCATCGCCAGAGGCCATTTGTATTATCCTAGCATCACACAGAGGACATTTGCAGTGTCATTATAAAACAATGGGATGAGCCGTGTGAAATGCAGTCACCCTCTGCTTTATGTCATAATTTTGTTGTGTTTGTGTGTTACAGAGGAGCAATGATGAGAATGGGAACTGCTCTGGGGGAAGCATGGAGTTTCCCACCACCAACCTGTATGAACTGGAAAGTCGAGTCTTTACTGACCACTGGTCCATACCTTATAAGAGAGAGGAGTCCCTGGGCAAGTGTCTCATTGCCTCCTCCTGCCTTGCCCGACATGGTAAGACTGCATGTGTGGAGGTGATGAAAATGTTGTTTTTAAGGTCTGCAGTAAACTACATTTGCGTTATTATGTGGGTGGCGTGTTTTGTTTGGACCATCAGGTGTTTTTCACATGTTGTTATTTCGGCCACTTGTGTCGCATGACTCAATATGTAACTAATCTGACAGCCAAAAATTCTCCAAGTTTAGATGTGTGAATCCAACTTCTCCTTCCCTGTCAGGTCTTGCTGACGCTGATGAGAATTGCAAGCGCTTTATGGATCGTTGCATGCCAGAGGCCTTTAAAAAGGTAAGCAAAAGAGAAACTGAACTCCAAGTGCCTCTTTGAATATTTAGCATACCTGACTTACTTCCTTTCTACATGCCTTGTTCATTATCACCAGCTACTGACCAGCAGTGCCGTACACAAATGGGGCACAGAGATTCACGAGGGAATCTACAACATGCTCATGTTGCTGGTGGAACTGGTTGCAGAGAGGGTGAAGCAGGACCCTGTACCTGTAAACCTGATGGGAGTGTTGACCATGGTGCGTGTCTCACTTAGTAATGTTTTCATAAAATGATAGAAAACCTTCCTGTTACGATGCTTCAGTGTCTCATTTACTGTCTTTTTTCTTTTTATAATCACCTTATTCAAAATGTTATGAACCACTGTGGTTCAGTGTCATTCCATTTATTTTGGGTTTTGTTCAGCTTTACTAAAAAAAAAAAAAAGCAAATTTATTTCATACATATGAGGGGAAATAAAAATAAATATTTATGATGTGTAATTCTTCTTACACGCAGGCCCTTAATCCTGACAACGAGTACCATTTTAAGAACCGGATGAAGGCCTGTCAGAGAAATTGGGCCGAAGTTTTTGGAGACGAGGCTAACATGTTTGCCGTCTCTCCAAGCAACGCCTATCAGAAAGTAAGACTAATTTGTCTGTGAAGCATTATAAGATTGTACTGTAGCATTGTAGTATTGTGCTGTATGTGTGGCAGTTACTCCAGCAAGTATTTATATATGTTTACATGTTAAAGAATTTGTTTATGGTGTATAGTCATGTTCAAGGTTCAGACAGACCAATTCTTCAGTGTTGCATAACTGAGCTGCAGAGGGTCAAGAGACCCTGACACACAGCAGCTGCTTGAAAACTTAATGTGTATGTCTCATGAGAATTTTCAGTGTCATTGCTGAAAGCATTTACTTAAATCATAGTGATCTGTTTCAGGAGCCCCATGGTTGGCTGGTTGATTTGGTGAATCGAGTGAGTAATAAACCACCACTTAGATATTGTCTCCATAAATATATACCAGAGTTATATCAGTTTTGCCTCATGTTTCCTTTCTCTCTGTAATTTTTGTCAAGTTTGGAGAGCTGGGAGGATTCACTGCCATCCAGACGAAACTCAACACTGAGGAAATTGAGATAGCTGTAAGAACAATTGTTTTTACGTCTTCTTATCATCTTTCTCCGGGCATTTCTTAAGACTGACAGAGTGTCAGTGTGCTGTGCTGCAGCCGTACTTTGAGACAGTCTATGCAGGCGAAAGGTCATCATGTTTGAACTCAGTGCTCTCAGCTGCACAGTGCTGAATGTCTCTCTCTCTTTCTTTCACTCTTTGTAATATTCACTTACACACAAACACAGTCCTGCATCCTCCTACTGTGTGATGGTTGAAATGCTCTGTTGTTTTATGTGCTCTGAGGCATCCTTGTACTGATGCTTCCTTCTGGGAACCTGGCCGGAACCTCAGCAGCGCATGGCCATTAATTCAGTGCGCGTGCATACACACACACACACACACCCTCTAACCATTAGCATATTAATAAGGCAAAGACTCATTGCACACCACAGTTGCACTCTGCAGTTGCAGTGGGAGCTCAGCAGAGTGTGTAAGCTGTTAGATCCCTAACACACTAGAGGCACATTGGATGATGGTAAAAGTGAAAGTAAAAAAAAAAAAAGAGTAGTGCTCACTTCTCTATTTACTACCAAGGGTGACACATTCATTTGTGTGCTTTGAGCAGGAAGGCATGTAGGATGGAAGGGTAGAGTTGGAAGGTGGAGGAGAGGGAGATACTTGCAGAAGGCAGAGATGGAGGATAGTCAAAAAACTGACAGGAACACAGGAAGCTTTCATTAGCCTCTCTTGATTTAGCAGTGAATGACAAATGACAGCTGGGCTCTGGTATTTGATACTCATCCACGCATGTGTTAACAGTCACTCCCTCTCGCTCACATGCACTCATGTTTTTAAATGCAGGTTGATCTCTACCCTACACATTTTACATCAGGAGGATAGATGTTGTGATGCCATAAAAAGTCTTGCACACATCTGTTAGTGAGTTTTAGCAATGCTTCAGAGTCAGTGAATTATTCTTAAGACAATCAAAGCTGGTGCTGATAAATTATTTTCCTCCCTTTCCTTTCTTTCTTGACTTGTTTATACTTTTTTTCATCTGTCCATGCAGTATGTATCTGCTCTAGTCCAACCCCTCGGAGTGTGTGCTGAATACCTTAACTCCAGTCTTGTCCAGGTGAGCTACCTTATCTACTCTCCCTGACACACACACACTAAATGATGCTCACTATACATTTCTACCTTAAAACAATGTCTTAGCCCTTTAATGGCCCCTTGTGGGATAAAGTGAGGACTGGCCTATGTGTCCTAAGCTGATTTCGATTAGTGTCAGACACTTGGGTTGGGATACTTATGCACAGCTCTCACATGTAGCACCCAGAAGGATATTATCAAGTTCAGACACATTCAAACTACTGTGTTTTAAGCAAAGGAGCTAACTGGATAAAGGCAGCATACACTCACTGGTGGGCATTATGATTGCTGGTAAATCTAGTTTTCCTTCTGTTTGCACATCAAAGTCACAGAGACTTTGTACCAGGAAGCTGCCGGGTTAAAAACCTGCTAATGTCTAATCTGACTGTGCTGATATTTATGTTCTCACATGGATCTCTGCTGGGTGGTAGAGAAGTTCAGGGCTGCAGTGCATAATATGTGACAGGGTGTTACATACAGTTTTAACATCTAATGTTAAAAATGGTCCTCTTAAAAATAGCAATACAGGTATGTACACACATGGACACACAGTTGTAGAATCTGGCCTGTAATTGCTTTTTTTCCCCCTCTGCCAGTAATATATATGTGTATATACATTGTTTGTCTGTGGCTCCGTAGTTTTGTTCCAGCGATAAAATCATCGCTTGTGTTTATTACATGACACTCCTACCCCATTCTGATTTATATTCTATTTTTATTTGCTGTATCCTCTTACTGTTTTGCTGCTCCAGTGGTCCATTTACCCCACAGGGATCAACACAGTTTCATATTGTTTTTCCTAGCCTATGCTGGATCCAGTCATCCACAAGATGATCACATATGTACAAAACCTGGAGGAGAAGGACCTTAAAGATAAGGTAGTGATTTATACCTCCTTATAATTTTAAGAAAAAGAGGACAGAGATGAATGTGTTCACTGCCCTCTTAGTTGTGCTACCCAGTAAATTTGAGTTCAGAATGAATATGGGACTGGTGACTGTTGTTGGCACCTGCTAGATCAGTGGTCTCCAACCTTTTTTGCGCCACGGACCGGTTTATGCCCGACAATATTTTCACGGACTGGCCTTTAAGGTGTCGCGGATAAATACAACAAAATAAAACTAGTACCGGTACCAAAAAAAAGAAGATTTATTCATAACACACGTGAAAAGACCCAGGAAAACTGAGTTAACGATAAAAACAATAACAAAACAACGCTGAAAACCGATTAAAACCCTGAAAACCATACATTTCACACCTGAGCCTCAACTCTCGCAGCCCGGTACCAAACGACTCACGGACCAGTCCGAGGCCCGGGGGTTGGGGACCGCTGTGCTAGATCATATAGTATGAATAAATTGTCTTAGAAGACTATGGTAAGTGCAAACACTTCTCATCTTGAGTTCAGGAAACTAAATTAGTGTGGAAATGGTTCTTTTATTGAAACTTCACAAGAATTTTATGACTCAGTCAAATGTTATTCAACCCTAGCGTCTGGTGAGCATCCCGGACCTGCTGTCAGCCATCAAGCTATTGTGTATGAGGTTCCAGAGGGAGCTGGTTACTGTGGTAGATGATCTCCGGCTGGATACTCTTCTACGTATGCTCAAAACACCCCACTTCTCCACTAAGATGAACTCCCTCAAAGAGGTCAGCTCAAAAAGATGACTTTAAAGTATTTCTTTCTGGGTGCTTCCATTTCTGAGCTCATGTCAGACTATTTTTGTATGCTTGTCTCTCAGGTGACAAAGTTAATAGAAGAGAGCACGGTTTCAAAGTCTGTGAAAAACGCCATTGACACAGATAAACTGCTGGACTGGCTTGTAGAGAACTCTGTCCTGTCAATAGCACTGGAAGGTAAGGATGTTTGTTAAAACATAACTTACTAGATTTTTGATGAGTGCTTGGCAAAACACACAGACATAGTTAAACGTAGTCACCACTGACATAAATTTAAACTGAGAAATCGGGAAATTAAGATTTCAGTTTAACTTTGGCTGATTCATTCTTTTTGTTCCAGGTAACATTGATCAAGCTCAGTACTGTGAGAGGATTAAGGGAATCATTGAGCTGCTGGGGAGTAAACTGTCACTAGATGAACTCTCCAAGATCTGGAGAATACAGGTAAGAACCATTTATATCGCAACTGCATGTGTTATTACATATTTATTATTCATTCTGATCGGTTTTATCTATTTATAACTCTTAAAGAAAATCAGTAAACTGCACTGAGTTCTTTTATATGTGCATATCTGTAAGTATGTGACAAATACCTGTCAGCTCAGTGGATGTATTGATTTCTTTTTGTGTGTGTGTGTGACCATCTCAGGCGGGTCAATCATCAACTGTAATAGAAAATATTCATACAATAATTGCTGCTGCTGCTGTGAAGTTCAGCTTTGACCAGCTCACTCACCTCTTCGTTCTCATACAAAAGGTCAGCGCTCACTCTGTGACATTTTGATAAAATAGGTTATATTTGAAGAGATTTCTACATGTGTGAGTGATATTAATGATAACATGTTTGCATGGTATTTAGAGCTGGGAAGTTGAGAGTGACCGTGTAAGGCAAAAGCTGCTCAGCCTGATCGGGAGGATAGGCAGAGAAGCTCGCTCTGAAACCACAACAGGAAAGGTATGCTGTGTAAATATCTTTTTGTCAAAGCTAGGCTCATTCAAAAGTAATTGGAAAAAACAGGTAAAGATATTGTGAAAGGTTTTGATGTAAGGATGTTCCCTTGAGTCAACCTTGTCCTTGTGTGTGTGTCTGTCCAGGTGCTGGAGGTGCTGTGGGAGCTGGCTCACCTCCCCACCTTGCCTACCAGTCTAGTTCAGCAGGCACTGGAGGAGCACCTGGGGATTCTGAGCGATGCCTACGCTGTTAAGGAGTTGGTGAAACGCAGTTACATTATTAAATGCATTGAAGACATTAAGAAGGTGAGACAGACAAAATATAGTATTTTCTTTGTTTACTTGGGCTCTTGTTGGGGTTTAGCATTTCACTAAGCCGGTGCTTTAAAGGTGTTGTTTATTTTGTACACACACAAAGAAAAAACTGGGAGCATTTGTTATGAATCTTAAAACTGCAGCTCAGCAGTTTTAATGAAACACTAGACAGATCTTCTACTAGATATCTAGGTCTTTTTCTGCCTTCGGTAACAGTTTTACTGCATGTTAACATTCCCTTATAAGTTTGTCAAACTCTTGCAATACAGTGTACCCCACTGTAATGAAGGGGGCTTTCTTTTTAAACAAGTACCCATCTATCAAGAATAATTTATTTTTAAACTTTTTTTTATTAGTTTTTATTTTTGTCATTGTCTGCATCTGTAACACCCTCTGTGGGTATCTGTAAATGCAGGTTTTATAATTAGTCGATTTGCTGATACAGTCAGTTAATGACTATATTGTGAAACAGTGGTGTGACTGAACTGTTAAGTAAACTACTCTCAAAGCGTGGAAAATGTGGTAGATAACGTTATAAACTGCAAGTATGTGAGGAATTTATGCTTCATCTTGCCTTTTCTAAATGTGTACTTTACATGTCATTAATAACTGTGTCAGTAAATTGGTACTGCACATCCTGGCTGTCCAACATGACAAACTGGTTCACCCTAGAGAGGACACACGCAGATGCTCATACTAAACGTGGCATATGTTCAATAGTCCTGGTGAGCCTCAGGATTCTGTCTTAAATGCTCAGTTTGTGATATTTTTATTCTACTTTTAAATCTTTGTGATGTATTTAATATGGTCTTCTCAGTAGCTTCACCCACCTACTATTCAGATCTCTTTCCTTTTTGTTTGTCTGTTTATCCTTTTTTAATTTCGTATGACAGTTAATAAGAAGAAAATAGGCTTTAAGGAAGGGGGAAGGGAACTAAAACTGACAGTGGACAAACTGAGCCACAGTACAAGAAATGGAAATTGGGATGATATATCAGTTGCATGTATGCTTTTCTTATTTTGAAATTCTATACAATAACCATATTTTAAAATGACTGCTGGACTGACTGTTGCCACACATGGAAGAAAATATGTGTGTCATCCTTGGAAACCCCGCTTGTTATTTGTGTACAAATATCCCACTTCAAATGATATGTATGTCTCTAGAACTTCACTCAGGAAGACAGTAAAGGCAACGAGACTCATAGCTCATTTCATATTGGCACTTGGGGCAAGAAGAAATCTAACTCACTGGCCAAATTAAAAGAGGTATCCATTATGATTTATATTTCCACTGACTGGTGTGTATCCAATCTTGCTGCTTCAGTCCTGGCATCCAATCGTGGAGGAGGGGGTTTGACCACAAAGGGGTTTCGTTGGTCTCAGGTTGATAATTTCACAGATGATTGCAACATGAGGTTGTTTGACCAGGTGTATGTTAATCTTCTGCTTGCCTCACTAAGAGGGCTTTGGCACTCGCTAATGATTACACAGTGGTGTTGGTCTTGTCTTGGGTGAACGCTTGTGGAAATAAATGAGTGATTTATCTGCTGGATGACTGGTTAGCTTTGGTGGAAATTTTTTACTCATGCGAGGACTCTAATCAGAACCATGGATACCCAAGTGAGGCTTTTGTTTGATATTTGGCCTTTCACATTAACCCTCATCCTACCAGCATATTTGACATACATAGACCTGGGGTCCTTGGGGGCAGCAAGGATCATTAATTACCAGTCACAATAGCAAGATTATAATACTAGCAATTTTTTTTCTGCTCAAAGCATTATTAGTTATGTGTCCTATGTCATCTAAAAAGTAGCTCATTATTAGATTTTTGTAAAATTGCATTTTATCGCCCAATCCACACTAAATACTCAAAACCTTAATTGATTCTGATATTCCTTAGTTTTCAGTAATTTTAAGTAAACATCAATTGTATTGTAGTTATATGACGAAAGCTGCTGGATCTATTTTGATCCCAATATAATATAATTGAAATTATTTCTCCAATGCATTCTGGGTGTTCCCCAAAGTCTCCATTACATGCTCAAAACACATCACCTAGGAGGGGGTTCTACTCTTACCTTTTCTCAATGACCAAGCTCCTTGCTCTGTTTCTGAGGCTGAGTACGAATCCTCTTCAGAAGAAACTGATTTCCACTGCTTGCATCTGTGATCTTATTCTTTCATTTACTACCCAGAGCTTGTGAACATAGAGCCAGCAGATTCACACATCTGCTGGCTGTACTTTTGCTTTCACTCTCAGCTCTCTTTTCACCACAACAGATCGGCATATCATCCACTTCACTGCCAAGACCCCACCAATATGTCTGCCGATCTCCTTTTCCAGTCTCCTCTCTTGTGAACAAACCCCAAGATATTGAAAGTCCTCCACTTGGGGCAGCAGTTTGTGCCCAAGAAGGAGTCGGCATCCCAA